GGGTTTTCCGGGGTGCTGATCACAAATATCGTGTTAGTTTTGATCACAGATGATGTCGTTAAGCGTTTAGACCAGGTCGGGTCAGGTCAGGTCAGGTCAGGTCAGGTCAGGTCAACCGGTGGGGGTCGTACCGGGTATTCGTAGTACCTGTCATCCGCCTCTGACAGCTTCGTAACATGTTACGAAGGCACCAAAACTACTTCGGAAATATTTAAATGGTTGCTAAATTCGAATTCAGCTCCAAAAACTAGCCTAGAAACATGTAAAACTCGAAAAAGTGAACCGAGGTCACCAAAGGTCAATGACCTGACCTGACCTTCAGGTGACCTTGACACCCACCCTAATGCATGGGAGCAACATCAAATCACATGTTTGAACGTTTGAAACCACGAAAAGCTTGCAATCGCGCGGTTAATGCGAGCCGACATACGCCGAATCTTGATTTCGGCCAAACATGGTCACGGAAAAGAGGTCACAGGTGAAAGGTCATTGAAGTCAGGGTCATAAAATTTGCAGGGTAGATGTAAAATTGATCAATTCGAGGGTACTGAAAGTTTCGTTGCGATCGGCCGCTTTTTACGCGAGTTATTCGCGATAAACCTTAGGGGGGTTGCATCAACCGGCGAGGGTTAAAGTAAGTCTCGAAATTGCGATGTCTCTGACCAAATGTAAGGACAATTTTGCGACCCTTCCATTAGGTAAAAGGAAATGGGAGAAAATCAGGGCATGTGCCTCTTTTTATAGGTAGACAAATGTCAAAGTTAACGAATTTAACCCTAGAACGCCTAGGGGGGTTGTATCAACCCCCCCCCCTGAGGTTTTTTCGAAGTGCACGCTAAACGGCTTGTCGTAGCGGGCTGAAATTTTCAATACCCTCTGGGGCAACCTTTGCGCATCTTTTGCCGAACAACAATTGATCGGGTCATGTCAGGTCACGGAGTTATGACGTCATAAGAGGTACAGCCTCCGGCCGACAGTTACCAAACGTGTGCGCCGAATCCCTAGGTTTTCTGCCGGTGATACCCACATTGTTTGATGGATCATGATGAAACTTCCCATGCATGTTGGGGCAAGCATTGGCTATCGTGTGGTGCAAGAAAATTGACCGGGTCAGGTCAGGTCACGGAGCTATGACGTCACAAGAGGAACAGCGTCCGGTACTATTTTTGAAAAGCGCCCGAACCACTATTTTGCTAATTCTTGTCACCTCAATGGGAATATGCAGCAATATTAGCTTCTATAGGGAGCAAATGGACCTCCCAAATCCAAAAATACAATCAGATTTCAAAAATTTAAATTTTGATTTTTCGAATTTCTGCCGCCGACTGTGACCTTGCCGACTTCCGGCGCTCCCAACGCACCATTTTTAGAGCTAGGGAAACGAAATACATACCAAACGATAGAGAATTGATCAAGGAACACGATAGTGAAGGTTTCAAGTCGATATCTTCCACCGTTTTGCCGCAATCGCCGCGGAAAGTTGAAAAAGTTTGATTTTTCGGAAAATTTGACCTTTGACCGGTCATAAGTAGGTCAAATGTTGACCTAGGACCAAAAAATATACCACCAATCGCGAGATATCGTTGATACTGTGCACCGACAGCCAGTCGGCTCTATCGGCCCTGCGCGCGGGACCGGCGGCCCAGCGATCACGGCTGGGTGCCACAATATGGCAGGCCCTGCTTATGCTGGCGGAGCGGGGTCGCCGGGCCCATCTGCAGTGGGTTCCCTCCCACTGCGGGCTGGAGGGTAACGAACGCGCGGACATCCTGGCTAAGGAGGCGGCACAGCTGCCGCAGGAATCAGCCCCACTGGACGTTCAGACGGTCCACCGAGCGGCGGCAAGATCGGCGCGGGCGCGAGCGACGGCGCGGTGGCCCGAGGGATGGTACCGGGACCTCATGGGTTCGCGCCCCCCGCCGCCGGTGGCCGGCCTGGACCGTACGAGGGCGGCCGATGTCCACCAGTTACGAGCCGGTCACTGGTCGGCGTCGGCACAATATCTACACAGGATTGGAAGAAACCCTGGCGGGCGCTGCGAACAATGCAGTAGCCTCAGGTGCCCGGCGGCGCGGTGCATCATCTGCAAAGAAGAGGCGGACACACCGAGACATGTCCTGGCGCGCTGCCCGGCCCTGATGGGAACCCGCATGCGCGTGCTGGGGACTATACACCCAGATCTGAGGGACCTGCGGGACGACGACGTGGTGGCGGCCCTGGCGGCCGCTGCCAGGTCCCTCCAGAGCCGTTCGGCTACGCTCGACTGAGCGGAGGGACTACAACAACAACAACAGATATCGTTGAGAGCAATCCGTTGGTTTTTTTTCGCTAAGCTCTACGACCTTCCGTTTCGAAACGCCAGGGGGGGGGGTCGTAACAACCCCCCCCCCCCTGGTCGTTCGTGTTATGAGAAATGGCCTGGTCGTGCGAGGGTTGAACATCAGAAAACAATTAAAAATGACACACTTAATCAGAAAATTGCCACCCACGACCCCTCGTTATGTCCTTGAGGTCATATCAGGTCATGGTAGGCCTCCAGCAGTTTTTTTTTCCAATAACTTCTGATAGAGACATGCGACATGCCTGAGCGATGAAAACACCTTACATAGATGATTTCAGTTTGACGATACAAATCGACTGATATGCAACATGACCTTTACCAGCCAGGTCATGACCTGGACCTGAGCTCAAATTTCCCAAATGACGTTTGAATGTCAAATTATAGTTCATTCGACGCATCTCGACGAGAGGAGCACAGTACTGAAAAAAAAAACAATGTCATAACTTTCGTGAGTCAATAATTATTACAGTAAAAAGGTTCTTCATTAAAACAGCTCAGTAGAGGGGCGCAGGGGGTCCACTGTCCCCTCCAACCCTCCCCGGCCCGGCACGGGTTAAACAAGTTGTGCTCTGTAGGTTAAGCCGTTGATTTTAGGTCAAGTCTGAGGACTTCATAGGAACGTTGAAGAGCTATCGAATGCGCTTTTTCGCGGTGCTGTAGTTCTATTCTTCCCCGAGTTATGCGCCAGTTTGTCAATAAATGTTGAAACAGACAACATTTCACCCACATTTTACCTTTGATGACCTCTGGTCACCTGATATTTGACATTTGACTTGACCTAACCAAAGCACGGTTAACCAACTAACCCAAGCACGGTTTTTGACACTCTTTCGAATACCGCTTACCGCGTGTCGCTACGTGGCCTAAGTAGCCAAGTTATAGGGGTCGGGAGGGGGGTTTAAACAAACTCAGCCCGGCGCCGGTCAAGGGAAGGCACTATCATTTGGGGGCGCTGCAGATATGCTAAGGGACGACAGCATCATTTTGATTTTTGAGGCGCGCCACCAATTCTTTTTAGGGCCACCGACACTGTGAGGAGCGCAATTATGTCTTTGAGCGTTGCGGGGTGGCACCATTACATTGAAGGGCGCCATGTGAGCAGTGATGTGGGGCAAAATGACAATGAGGAGCGCCTCCGATACTTTAAGAAGAAAGAGACGCCAACATTACTCGGGGGGGGGGGGGGGCAACATCACTTTTATTTTGAGGACGCCACCCACATTGTAAGGGGCGGCACTGTAACTTTAAGGACCGCCATGGATACTGTTATAACTTAAGAGTTCGTTTATATATCTATGAAAAGGTAAACTGTATTCAATGGCTTCACATTTTTAGCACACACCGCACACCGTGTTGTTCGAACATATCACGTAAATAATTTATCTCGTTCTCAGAACGTCGGGTAAATACACAGGTACCTCCAGTGAGGTCAGTGACCTCGCAGTCTGACATAACACTGTATCAGGGCATAACAACTCACGCCCCCTAAGAATGAAATGACCCCAGCCCAAGGTCAGCAGAGCCCGCCTGGAAGCGTATCGGTTTCCGCACTTCCCGGCCACTCCTAGTGACTATTCGATCTTCTGCAGGTGACGACTGAAGTTCAGGTGTAGAATCTTCCTTGTTATCAGACGACTCATTCCCTGCCGATTCATCGCCACTCTTGTAGCTGCATTCCGGTGCCTTTGGAGGGTGATCTTCTAAGTTTTCCAGATCGATGTCTTGAGTTGTTGGTTGGCGACCTTCCACTGATCCTCTCCTGGACCCGGCAGCTGACGGAACGTTTTGTCTATCGGAACCTCGCCATCCTGGTTCGTCTGCATATGTGCTACTGCACGGTGGGTGCTGATCAGCCCCTCTGCTTTTCTTCTCACCCAGGTCCTTAGGTCGCTCCCCGGACACCGTCCTTGACCCGACGTTTTCTGCTCTTGCAGATGGACTTGAGCGGCTCAGCGGAAGCAGCTGTCCTGCGTGACGCGACCATGTCAGGCCCTCTACCGTCACTTGGTAGGAAAGAGGTCCCGTTCGGCCGGTGACATGACCTTTCTTCCATTTACATCCACCAGCGTAGTTACGCACCAGCACTGGTTCTCCAGCCGTGTATTCCGGAAACCGCTTGCTGGCGTTCTCCATCTGCTTTGCTTGATAATTCATGACCTTTTCAGCTGGTCTCGGTTTGAGCAGGTCCAGTCGGGTTCTCATGACTCTTCCCATCATGGATTCGGCGGGTGCCACACCTGTCATACTGTGAGGTGTGTTCCGATATCCCATCAGGAATGATGATAGCTGTAGCTCAAGCGGACGGCCATCTCCGCTCATGAGACATGCCTTCAGATTTTTCTTGACAGTCTGCACCATCCTCTCGGCTAGCCCGTTGGACTGAGGTCGGTATGGTGCGACTCGTATGTGCTTGATTCCGAGCTTCATCATGAATTCTTCGAATTCTTTTGAGGTCAACTGAGCTCCGTTGTCAGTAACCACCTGTAATGGTATTCCCCATCTTGCGAATATTTTTGACAGTTCGCATATGGTTGCTTCAGCTGTAATGCTTCTCATGGTGACGATTTCCGGCCACTTGGAATGGCTATCGACCACTACCAGGTAGTAATATCCTCTGAAAGGTCCGGCAAAATCCAAGTGTAGACGCTCCCATGGGTTCTTAGTGCGCTCCCAGGGATGTAGAAATACCGCCGGTCTCTCGTTCTGTCCTGCTTGACATCCTGGGCAGCCGCTCACTAGATTTTTTTATGTCATCGTCGATCCCCGGCCACCATACGTAGCTCCGGGCCAACATCTTCATCTTACTGACCCCTGGGTGGCTGTCATGAAGTTCTTTCAGCACTTCTCGCCGGAGGCGTTCGGGGATGACTACCCGGTTTCCCCAGAGCACGCAGCCGTAGCTGAGAGACAACTCGTTCTTCTTGGATTCAAACGGTTGTAGCTCCACTGGTCCTCGTTCCGACCAGCCGCTGTGGATATACTGGGCGACCCTTGAAAGCAGCTTATCCCGGCGTGTCGCTCGCCTGATGTCCTCACAGGTCAGCGGCTCTATCCTGTCCAACTGTTCCAGGAAGCACACGGAAGCGTCATCTTGCACGTTAGTCAGCTCCTCTGGCTCCCCCTGAACGGGAAGGCGTGATAGGAAGTCTGCCATCGGAATCTCCTCCGCCTTTCTATACTCTACATCATACGTGTAAGCTGCCAGAGTCAGCGCCCATCTCTGCATTCGGGCTGCTGCTAGTGCGGGAGACTGTGTCCTCGGTCCCAGCAGAGATGTGAGGGGCTTGTTATCCGTCACCAGTGTGAATTTTCTACCCCAGAGGTACTGTTTGAATCGGGTGACACCAAATATGACAGCCAGTCCCTCCCGTTCAATTTGGGCGTAGTTCTTCTCCGCTTTTGTCAAGCTTCTTGAGGCGAACCTCACCGGTCGCTCGTTCCCATGGTGGTCCACTTGCATGAGAGAAGCCCCTAATCCATGAGGACTGGCATCTGTGATCAATCTCACCGGCCTACTTCCGTCATAATGCGCCAAAACGGGAGCCTGGGCGAGTCTCTGCTTTAGCTCGTTAAAGCTGTCTTCCTCAGCTTCAGTCCATCGCCACTTATGTCCCTTTTGCAGCAACCGGTGTAGCGGGGCGGCCACCTTGGACATGTCAGCCACAAATCGGGCATAGAAAGTGGCCGCTCCCAGGAAGCTTCTCAGTTCGCCGACATTCTGTGGTCTCGGCGCCTGCAGCACTGGGTCCACCTTTTCTTTCACCGTTCGGACGCCACTGCCGCTCAGCTCCACTCCCAGATACTGGAGTGACGTCATCATGAATTCACACTTCTTTCGTTGCAGGACTAGCTTCCATTTCTTCAACCTCTTCAGTGTTTCATCCAACCGCTCCAGAGTTTCATTGTCCGTTGCTCCCGCCACCAAGACATCGTCTAAGAAGCAGGTTACACCCGGAAGACCTTCCAGCACCTTTTCCATCGTGCTCTGGAATATGGCCGGTGATGCTGAGATGCCGTAAGGCAGGCGTTTCATTTTTAGAAGTCCTCTCGGGGTGTTGAGCACGGTCACCTTCTGGCTGTCCTCGTCAAGACGCATCTGTAAATAGGCCGTACTGAGATCCAGTTTGCAAAACTTCTTCATACCGGCCATCCTGGTCAGAATATCTTCTAGGCTTGGCATGGGCGTTTTTGGCACGTCCAGCTGCGGGTTTACTGTGAACTTATAATCCCCGCACAGTCTCACCCCGCCCCCAGGCTTCGGCACCACCACTAGAGGCGTTCCCCAGTCGGAGTACTCGATCCTTTCGGCGATTCCAGAGTCTTCCCACTTCTTGAGCTCCCTGTCAACCTCCTCCTGTAAAGCGTATGGCACCGGCCTCACTCTCTTGAAAACAGGCTCAGCCATTTCTTTCAGCTTCAAATGAGCTTTGATTTCAGCTAACTGTCCCAGCCTTTCCTCGAACATTTCTTTGTGATCGGCTAGAATTTGTTCCAGCGACCGCTTGGCAGGCCCCTTCTCAGACACTTGATTGACTCTCTTTTCCGTGCTGATCAGTCCCAGAAGTTCTGCCGTGATTCCACTGAGAAGCGAGACCTGGCCGTGAGCTGCTATTAGCCAACAACTCTGCACCTCCCGGCCGTTTGCTGTGGTGGTTGCTAGGAATTCGCCGTTCAGTTTCAGTGGAATTTTCGATCCATATGGCAGAAGTCTCCGGCTTGTCTTCGTAGGATGGATACCAACCAGATTTTGGAAATCCTTCCTGGCTATGATGTCCGCCGATGCTCCAGTGTCGATCAATACTTTCACAGTCTGGCCGTTCAACTGCACGTCCGTCAGTTGGCTCTTCTTTCTGTCTTCATTGGACGTAAACGCGAAGTCACCAGGCACGTCTTCACTGGTTGCATGGACTCTTTTGGTGAGGCTTGGTTCGTCCATTTGACGACTTTTGCACATTTTTGCAAAGTGGTTTTTGCCGCCACATTTGTTACAGGTTTTACCCTTAGTCGCCCAGCACTCGTTTGCTTTGTGTGATCTTCTACCGCATCTGTAGCAGGGGCCATGGCTTTGTCTGCTTCTGTCTCCACCGAGGCCGGGCGGCGCCTTCTTCTTTTCGTGAACTCTGTTTGCGAATCCAGTTTCCTTCTGTGGCTCCTGTTCTGGGTTTGGCTCGCTCTCTTTTGTTAAGGTCATTTCTTGCAGTTTTCTGGCCTGAGCTCTGACTTGAATGAACGACTCCCACATCTTTATCGCCTCATCTGCCGTCAAATGTTGTGCCTCTAACATTCTGACTTGCAGCGGTGGGTGTGGGCATCTTGAGATGAGCATATCCCGAATAAGCTCATTTTTCTGTTCACGGGAGAAGTCGCATTTTTCTGCTTGTCTTTTCAGACGTCCGACAAAGTCTCGAATGCCTTCTTCTTTGTCCGTCATTGTCATGTTGTGAAAAATGTTTCTTTCATACAACGTACGAACTTGAGGCTTGAGAATGTGACGCAGTCTCATCTTGGTGTGCTCGTACACATCCGACTGAGTTGGATTAGCTTCAGTCTCCGTTGCGTCCTTCAGTTTCTGTTGGATATCTGTCCCGAGAAGGTGAAGCAGAAGCGCTCGTTTGCGATTCACTTCCTCAATGCCCAAGGCACATAGATAGACTTCGAATCCATCCAGCCATATGTCGAAGTCCTCACCTTCTACGAATTTCTCCGGTGTGCTCAAACTCAACGCCATGATGTGGCCTTCACCGGGTCCACAACTAAGAGATGCGATTACGTTACCTTTATATCAAGTCAAATAACCGTGGCCTGTTCCGGGTCCACAGTCATGCAAAGTGCAATTAGTACGCAATATCGCGATTCCAACGACAAAACTAGCAGATCACTGTGGCCTGTTCCGGGTCCACAGCTCCATAAAATATGAGTGAACTACGTTACTTCACTTTTCTGCCGCTGCGGTTTACATAACATTGCATCTTACGTTACTTTATTTGCAATCATCCTTGTCGCCATTATGTTATAACTTAAGAGTTCGTTTATATATCTATGAAAAGGTAAACTGTATTCAATGGCTTCACATTTTTAGCACACACCGCACACCGTGTTGTTCGAACATATCACGTAAATAATTTATCTCGTTCTCAGAACGTCGGGTAAATACACAGGTACCTCCAGTGAGGTCAGTGACCTCGCAGTCTGACATAACACTGTATCAGGGCATAACAGATACTTTAAGGGGCGGCTCCATCATATGGAGGGGTGCTACAGATCGTTAACCCGCGCCCCACTGGGGGGGGGGCTATTTATAGCCCCCCTCCCGTTTTTCTGCAATAACTTCCAAACCGCTTGACAGATCGACGCCAAACTTTCAGTACCTTCGGCTGCATCAATTTGACACCTTGTGTCAAAATTTGAACTTCGTAGCTACCATAGGTCGGCCGGAAATGACGTCAGAGTGACGTCATGTTCGTCCGATTTCGACGCAAAACATTGAACCACGGCAATCGCTCCCAAGAGCTCAGTTTTTAAGCTAGATCCAATTTTTTTGCATGAAAGGACTCAGGATTGACCGCGCTATCAAACTGCCATCTCGAATTTTCAAAATTTTGAAAATTTCGAAAAGTTTATATAATAATATTCAAAATTTATATTTTTATATTTTTTCAAAAAGTTTTTGACTTTTCGAAAAAAACCGGAAAATATGTGACAGAACGCATGATTATGACTAACTCTAGCAAGTTTTAGCAAAATATCTTCAAAAATGGCCAAGTTATACGCATTATTGCAAAAAATTCACAATTATTAATTTTTTAAATCAATTTTTCAGTACGTATTTGGCATCGTACACCAATATAAATGGCACTATCGTGTTTCTGAGCTCAAACTGCATCCAATAGACACCTTTTTTGTTGAAAAATTTCAACTTCAAAATTTGACCTTTTTTGACCTGAAAGTGACCTGACCTAAGCTAAATTCGACTCAAAATGACCTCGAATGACACAGACGACATCAAATTCGAAATCTATGGCCTAAATGGACCATAAAACATGTGTCACGAGACCGATGCATGATATAATATTTTCGTGACCTGTGATGACCTGACCCTGACCTGAAAATCAAAGTACAAGTTTGGTACCCTCAAGGTATCTAGAGCATCTGTTCACGAGTGTGGAAACCAAAAATGAGCCTGATCTGACTTGTTAGACGGCGGCCAGAGCCCAAAATGTGAACAAGCCAAAGTACTAATAATTTTTACTTTGACCTGACCTGTGACGTCATCGGTGACCTCGAGGTCAATGAAATTAGGTTTTGCTCGACAGTTTTCCGGGGCTATCAGACGCCGTTTGAATTTTGACGATCGGCCCAGTAGTTTCGGAGTTAGGAAGGGGGGGCTATGAATAGCCCCCCCCCCAGTAGGGCGTGTTATACACAGACCCCAGTGGGGCGCGGGTTAATGGGCGGCAATAGGTATGATATTTAGGGACTCCGATACTTCGAAGGGCGCCACCGTTTGTTTGAGGGTGACATCATCACTTTGAGGGCCACCACCGATACTGTTCGGGACGCCACCGACACTATAAGGGGCGCCACCGACACTGCCAGGAGCACTTTGACCGGCGTTTCTATCACATATGGGCGCCGTGAGCACATTGGGGGGCGGCACCATGACGTGGAGGGGCGTTACGGAAGGTTTGAGGGGCGGCAACATGACATTGAGGAGCGCCTCCGACACTTCGAGGGACACCAGCATTTCTTTGAGAGGCGGCACCTTGACTTTTGAGGAGACACCACCGACACTGTAAGGGGCGGCACCATCACTTTGAGGGGCGCCACGGATGGTTTGAGAAGCGGCACCATTATGTATATGGAGGGGCGCTACAGAAAGTTAGAGGGCGGCAACATTGTATTGATGAGTTCCTCCAAAACTTTGAAGGGCGCCACTGACACTGTAAGGGGCGGCACCAGCACTTTTAGGGGCGGCAGCATCATTTTGAGGGGTGCCACCGACTCGTTGACAGGAGACACCATCACATTTAGGGGCGCCACTGGCACTTTGAGGGAGGCACCATCACATTGAGGGGCGCCACCGATACTGAAAGGGGCGGCATCATCTTCTTGAGGGGCGGCATTATCTGCTTGAGGGGCAGCTCCATCACAATGAGGGGCTATGTGGATACCTAGAGGGGCGGCACCATTATATTGGTGGGTTCCTCTGACACTTCGAAGGGCGTCACTGACACTATAAGGGGCGGCACTAACACTTTAAGGGGCGGCAGCATCATTTTGAGGGGCGCCACCAACTCGTTGGCGGGCAGCACCATCACATTCAGGGGCGGCATCATCTGCTTGAGGGGCGGCTCCATCACAATGAGGGGCTATGTGGATATCTAGAGGGGCGGCACCATTATATTGGTGGGTTCCTCCGACACTTCGAAGGGCGTCACTGACACTATAAGGGGCGGCGCCAACACTTTAGGGGGCGGCAGCATCATTTTGAGGGGCGCCATCGACTCGTTGGCGGGCAGCACCATCACATTCAGGGGCGCCACCGGCACTTTGAGGGCGGCACCATCACATTGAGGGGCGCCACCGATACTGAAAGGGGCGGCATCATCTTCTTGAGGGGCGGTATCATCACATTGAGGGGCTCCACAGATGCTTAGAAGGGCGGCACCATTACATTGAGTGGGACTACTAACAGATTTAGGGGCGGCACTGTCACATTGAGTTGTGGGATCATCACTTTCTATAGACGGCTGCTTCACTTTAAGAGGCGGCATTATCATTTCGGAGGGCAGCAGCCTCACTATGAATGACGGCACCTAGCCTGCATGTGCGTGCTGCATCCTAGAGGGGGCGGCAACTGGGTCGGCAAACGGCTGTCACTGGGTCGGCATTCTCCGTGACTGGGTCGGCAATTGCCGAAGGTTTCTGAGTTTGCTGAAGTTTCCTGGCTGCAGTACATTAAGGTCCAAGGTGCTATCGTCAGACACCAGAAGAGAGTGGGCTCCATTTCGCTTTGTTTTCTTGAGCTCTTTGGCGACCTCTTTTTCAACTGACTCATCAGTTGTTCTCTTTTCAGTTTTCGGCCACGTGTCTCGAATCATCCTTCAGCCAGGTTGGTCCCGACCATCACTTGGTCAGGCCCTTCAGATCACTTCCTGAAACACCTCTGGTTGGAATGTCAGCGGGATTCTCCTGGCCAGGGCAGTAACTCCAGCAGGGCGCCGGAGTGAGTCGTCTGATCTCAGACGTTCTGTTTTCCACAAACTGTTGGAATTCCTTCTCCTCTCGGGTGATCCAATGGAACACTACCATTGAGTCGGTCCAACAGAAACAGCTTGCTATCTCGTAAACCGAGCTGAGAGCAAGTTTCACCCTGACCACAAGTCGAGCGGTCAGCAGGGCAGC